TGCTTTTGGTTACAGACCGGCACTGTCAGCTGCTCCAAAATGATACTTCTCTCATGCTCAAGAAGGCACAGGGAGAGCCCATTTTGTTTGCTCACCATGAGAAGGAACTAAGTGTCAAGAGTTTGCAGCTGCCTGGCAGAAACTGCTAGAACTTTAATGCAGCGTGTAAAAGGGTTGAGATTTGGTGATTCTCCAACTAGAGGAGGCTGATGGGCTTGGGCAGACTTTAGGTGAGGTTATGCTATGGATGCTCAGGTGTCAAAATAGCCACAGTGTTGCAGAGAGTAGGTGGGGCTCCAGCCGGTGAGTGACGCTTTCTGTTGATTTATCTGTGATGGGAAATATCACTGGATGGTCCAAGGAGTACTTACTTTCTTAAATGTTATGAGGTGGGAAAAAAACCTAAGAGGTAGGGAGAAGGAGAATTCATTCCTTCAGCTTCTTCATGCTCCTGAATGTTGATTTGCTCAAAAGTAAGCAGGGAAGGGGGCAGTTGAATCTGTGCAGAACAAATAGGTATTACTCAGCCCCAGGGACAACAGCCTTAAGAAACTGCAGAGAATTTCCTTAGTATCTGGTGAATAGTAATGGTTGCTGGAATCCGATTATTAAAATTCAGAATCGTTCCTTACATATCATTACTCCTTTTCCTTCTCTTAAACTAGTTTTCGTTTACCTATAAATTCTTATTATAACAGTTGTGAATTCTCTGGTTAGTATTTCTCTATGAAGACATTTTCTTATTTGCCATTATTGATGAGTTTCAAAAACCCAAGTGTTTGCTTTAAAAAAGAGATTCACTGTTTCGTCCCTTTTTCCCACTTGTAACTTCATCTCCTGCCAGTTATGTGAAACATTGATAATATTTTCATCCAATTCCTCAGCAATCTTTTTCAATTAACTAATCAATTCCTTTAGTTACCTGCCATCTTTTTCTAAGGCAACTTATTGTCTTCTGCTAAAATCAAAATATTCCTGCATCTCTCACTTAGTGAAAATCAAATATTTCTTCCCCCTTTTAAATTAATTGTGTGATTACTGAGTGAGTCATACATGGAAAAATTGCAAAGTAAAGGTTGAGCACTGGCTCTTTTGCTCTTTTGCCCTTTCAGTAATACTTGCTTTCCTTCATATATATATATATATATATATATATATATATATATATATAGGACTCTTTTCTTCCTTCACCGAAATCTGGGAGAAGATTTTGGGACAAGAATCTGGCGTGAGTTTGCTTCACATTTCCTGTTGTGGACAGCTGCTGTTCTTGCCTGCCAAGAACCCCTTCTTCTGTGCTTTTCACACGCCAGTTCACCTTTGAGGAATTACCTGACCTTCCACTTAGCCTGGTAGCTAATCACATGCCCTGCCCATCACTACAGAAGTGGGCATTCATGTTCTGCTGTAAGTCTGGCCCAAAGGAGTTTGCCATCCTCTGAGCCACACTGGTGGGCCCAGCAGTGGACAGTTGATGCAAAGAGAACTTGCAACTTAGTCTCTTGCCAGTTTTTATTAATTGTCAATTTATAGTAATTTAATTAATTTATATATGCCAATTTGTATTAATACTGGGGCTTTCTCCTTCTGTAACTATAGAAATAGGGATTTTGTGAACATTAGTTGCTGGAGATGATCTTTGCTGGTGTGCCATGAGAAATGTGGTCAAAAGAAGGAAAAAAGCTGGGGGGTGGGGAAGAGAGGTTTTTATGGAGAGAAGTGGAGTCTGCCACCTAAGGAGTGTTTTAGTGATGCTAATATACTGGTTGGTGAAGCTGCGTAGAGGGCGGAGAAGACTTTGAAGCTTTCTTTATGGTCTCTTAATATACTATGTTGGTAACAAGTCATGCTACACCTTGCAAGGGCTTGGAGATTAAATTTGTCTTAAGTTCTGGAAGCCCTAATTAAGTGATTATATTATTTGAGAAGACGACTTCTTTTTCCACCTAAATGAAACACTTATCACGAAATCACAACTGGAGTTCACAGACTGACATTCTCTTCCAATTCCTGGGCATTGCGCTGCAGAATTCATAGTACCTTAGCCAAGACAAACCCATGGCAATTATAGTAGCATTTTGTTAGCAGCATTGCTATGCTCTCAAGTATTCTGAATCTGGCTGTCGTTAAGTTGAATTAGAATGTAATGTAGAGTTTCAGCAGTGTTATTTTTCAGAAGGTCAAGTCATATTTAAGAGGTGGTACCTGATTAAAACTAGCATAGCATCAGAAGGATTTAGCTAGCTCATCAGTTTAATTCATACATGAACATTTGGGTCTAATGGATATATTCTCAACCTTTTAAAATTGATATCCTTCATCAGTTTCCCTTTATGTCATAATTCCATTGGAATGGGCTATTTTTTATGGTCTTATGTTTGAAACAAATGGAAATTGCTCTTCCCCATCCCCTCCTCCATTTCAATAAAATAACACTAATAAAATAAGTCTATGCAGGAGTATTGATTTTATTTTGTGTAGATTTGGTGGGTAGATATTACAGGGAGGCAGATTTCAACTTGTTATAAGGAAAACATTTTAGCATGAAGTGGTGACCTAACTCATCACTGACAGGATTCAGGTAATAACCATTTCTATTGCTAGATAATTCCTGCTTAGGATCTTATAGAAAGGATTTATTTATTGATGTGTGTTTTGGGCAAAAAGACATTTGAGAGCTATTCTAGCTTCAAGAGACTATATACTACTAGTGGGTATACTCATACCGTGTGCTCATTTATTATTAATTACAGTAACTACTATTATTTCTATTAAGCCTATTAAGTGCTTTATACAATGCTTGTTATTTACATACATTAGCCATTTAAGCCCCATACCAATACTTTGTAAATATTATCTCCAGCCATGTGGATTAGATACCTAACTGTTTTTCTCTACTTTTTATTTCATGTGTGTTTGGTGACCCTTCTAGTAGGCTACAAACGCATTCTTAAATATAAGGCAGTGTTGTATACTTTGTATTATTTCTTACAGTTACTTCGAATATGGAAGGGCAGAGCAGATTCAGTACAGAAGTTATTTGTTCAGTCCTGCCATGCACATCCTGCTGACAAACTTTTCAGAGGGATCCTGAAACTATTTCCCGAGTCTACTTTCCCATATGGCCCATACATCGAAGTGGTTATTGCAGAGCTGTGACTGATCTTCCTAAAGTATTTTACAAGGGAGAGAGAAAAGAGCAGAAGTTAAGAGAAGGAACAGTGTCTACCTTCAATCACCCTTTCTCCCTTATGTGGACAATGAGAACCCCTTTCTTGCTTGAACACTGTTCATTTCAGTGCTTTGGTGGAGGAGAAGGGAATTTAGCTATTCTTGTGTTATAACAAACCATTCCTTTAAAATGATTGTTTTAACTCACTTGAATCAATTCCTCATATTGTTTTGCTATGCTGCTGGCCTCACTTTAAATGCCAGTGGAATGATTACAGTGTTAAGATATTTTACCCACAGAAACGTGGTAAGAAATTTATGGCTTGACATACTGAAAATAATGCTTGTTTTATAAATGACATACATAGTCATTTTTTGGTCATTCACAGCAATGGGAAAGGGTAGCCTGCCGGAACCCTAAATGTCACGTGGTCCACATAAGAGGCATTTTATGATTGCTACACTGTCATTACCATCAGCTAGCGTTTCGCCAGTAGCTTTCTACAGAATCATAAATTTTATTATAGCTATTTGAAAGCAATCATTGGTGCATTTGCCATTTCTGGGTTTTAATACAATTGCAACTCAGAGAATCTGAAATCAATAAAGATTTAGATGGCATGTGCCAATTGGATAATGGAAGTGATTTGGAAGTGTAGACGTTTATACCATTTGGGGAAGTCATTCTTGTTGAATAATATGGAGATCAGGGCTCTGCTTCTAGCAGAAGGAAATACAGCCTTAGGACTTAACAAGGAAACACTTACTGGGAATATCAAAGGAAAGAGGGTTTTTTAATCCACAGATGGATATGAACAGATTCTGTTTGAGAATCAAACCTGAGCTCTGAAGTTAGCAAATGGTATTCATTCCTCCTTCCATGTGCCTGGGACAGACCGTGAGCGTGAAAAGGGAACTTGGTGATCAGCTGACCTCACCTCCTAATTTTACAGACAAGGAAGCCAAGAGACTAACTGAGAACTTTAAAGTCATCCAGTCACCTTATCTCCAGTGAAGCCTTTGACTTTCAGTTCCATGCTCTTCTCTCCTATGATCTTTCCCCAAGCCTCAGCATCCCCAGTGTTATCTAAAAGATTCCAAAGTCATGGAAATGGCCACCATAGCAGGAAAGCTACAAACTATTCTCTTAGCTCTTCACCATCTTAGTACATGGGGAAATTATTTAACATCTCCTAGCTTCAGCATTTTCATCTGGAGGATGAGATAATAATACCTCCTCCAATAGGGTTGTTAAATGATTAAATTAGTTAACATGTGCAAAGCATTTAAAACAATATTAGTCCTAGATCTTTCTCCTTTAATAATGAGCATTAATTGTGTATACACCTAAATTATTTGAAGGGGCTGTTGCTGTACTGGGATTCTAGAAGGCACCAGTTAATCTGCTTTTGGTGTCATTATTTAAAAATTTCTACATTGTTGTCTTAAACATTATTTGGAAATTTTTAATAAAAATTCAGAGTTAAGTAAAAATAATCCATCTGATAATTTCACTCTCATATATTTCACTGTTGGATCACTCAAAGGGAAGCCTAAGGAACATTAAAGACGGCACATTTTCAGCTCTATAGTCTCAAATATTTCTTTAGTATCTTCAGAATTATATTATTTAAGTGGAGTAGAAATAAAAGAGTTTTTCATCCTATTTTCAGATGGTCACAACGTTATATGTATGTGTTTGGATGTTAAGAAACTTTCTTTGTAATCACTCAAAATACCTTTAAAGATAGTGAAATACCAATTTTTGGACTACCATAGGCTTGTCAGCTCAGAATGCAAGAAGTATTCAAATCTTGCAATTTACTAGATTAAAAAAAAATTTAATTACACATTTGAAGTCCTGATTACATCCTAGAGATTTATTTGCTTATGAAAAGTCAAACTATGAATTACAATATTGCAGAATAATTTTCCACTTCATCAGATTAGTTTTACCATTCATTCCACAAATGATTTGTAAAATTTCGCAATACCTAAAAAACTTTGATACTACATTACAAAAAGGTACTTAAATATAGATGAGAAAGATAGATGTTTGTTTTCTTCTTTTGCTGTTGATGTTAAATGAAAGATGGAATGTTTTTATTTGAAGTCAATCCCACCTATTTTCCCCCAGACACAGTAAGTAAATAGCAATGTGAATGAAGGCTTTATGTCTGTTATTCAGTTCAAATATGTGTTAGAAAAAAGATCTGTTCAGTGTATAAAATATACCAACAAAAAGGGAATCGTAAATAGAAAAATAAAACATGTAGAAGAGACAAATATTCTGTGCACATAGCTTTAAAATCCCAGTAGGGAACAGTTGTCAGAAGAAGATACTACACATTCATAAACATAAACTCCCAAAGAGCAATATTCCAACACGTTAATTTGCCACAACAGATTTACCCATTGAAACCAGTCCACCAATTTTTACCAGCAAGTAGCATCTTAATTTTACCATCTAACAGTTAAATTGAAATGAAATAAATATTTCCACACAAATATCAGTAACACAGACTTTTCTGGATTGTAATGGAGCACCTACCAAGATTCAGTCAGCTCATAGGTAATGACACGCCTTGTAAGTATCATCTCTTCACACAGTAGCAGGGTCTTAAATGGAAAAGAGGTCTGTTCATTTTCTACATAAATCACGGGAAGATATTATAGAATTGGCTAATGAAAACAGCTTATATTTTGGAAATTAGTTTTAAAAATCTAAAGTTATAAATAAAAAGTGATGGAAAAAAGTAGCTGGCTGGGTTTCTCCTCTTCTTTACAGTGATATGGTAAAAAATACAAGGAAAGCACCTAACTTCCTTTAATTAGGAAATATGGTCCCTTCACTTGCTATAGGGCTCAGCTTAGAACAAGAAAAGAAAAAATATTTTTGGCTGTAGCTTTAGTAAACGATGAGTGATGAAAAATATTGTCTTCAAGAGATCTGACAACTCAGAACACAGACTTTATCACATTGATGTCACCTACATTCCTTCACAAAGCTTGGCAGATGAATAACTGAGCCTTATTTTGGTGGACTGAGAGAAGAAAGTACTAGTTCCAGCACAGAAATAAGATTATGGAAACCACCAACTGACACAAAACAGTTATTTCTTCTCCTGAATAATAAAGACATCATGTTTGCATATAGAACAGCTTTTGCATTATTGCTCTACGTACAAGAATATATTAGGGAGCTCATAACAGACTGCACATTACAAACTTAAGGTTCTTTGGTGAAGAATGAAAGAAAACAGTATTTGAGCTTTAACAAAAATTGTTTTATCCACTTTTGCATTTATCTATTGATCCGCTGGAGCCTCTCACAGAGCAGGGACAGGTACTGTGTAAGTTTCACCATGGCGACAATTGCCACGCCCCCAGCCATCATACAGGTGGGCCAGAAGAGCGCATGGAACAGCACGTTGGAACTGTAGAGTTTGGTTAGGATGACGCTCTTCTGGTTTCCTTCTGGGTCAGAATAGCAGGAGAAGTGTTGGTACTTCCTGAAATTTTCCATGACAACATTCACCAGGGACATGGATTCTTCAAAGTTTTTTCCACACTTAGGTATATAGGAGCACTGCAGAGAATGAGATAAACTGTTAATAGTTCAGACTCGAAGAGGGTGAGGAGTATTGTGTCCAAATTAGTGAGCTGTGGAATGATCATGGTGGTTATTCTTTTCATATTCAAGCGGGTGCCTTCGGAAATACTAATAAATAACAAATTGGTTAAAACAACGTTCTAAGGTATCTGACCAAGCTGTCCCTTGATTGCTCACTTATATGACTGAAATAAAATGACAGATATACTATTATCTTGATTTAATCATTCCATGTTGCATACATAAAATAAATTAAATGACTCTCAGTGGATTCTTTCTGCCATAGCTAGGTGTGATAGGTTTTAAATATCCTCTATTGAACATACTTCTTTATGGAATCAGAATGTCAACTCTGCCATCTTTTTTGTTTGTCCACATCTGTCCGCATAACATCAAACCTTCCAGCTCTCGCAGGGAAGGTAGTTTACTCTTATCTTTTTGTCTTGACTTCATTTTATTTGGTTACCTTGCAACTGTCACAAGAAAACAGCTACACTTCTGTTGAATTACTGAAAAAGAAATCTCATAATGTGTGGGAATATTGAATAGCTAAAAAGCTGAGATGAGTGGGGCGGATGCATTTAACATGCCAAAGTAGCTTTTCCTATAAGCCAAGGGAGAATAAAGCAGAACCGAATCAGTTTGTTCTTTAATCACCGCTCACCTAAGAACTTACACTACCTTTCTTTTGCTCTTTTCTCCTCTCTTTTTTTTTGCACACTTTGATATGGTTTGGCTCTGTGTCTCCACCCAAATCTCACTTGAATTGTAATCCCATGGGTCAGGAGAGGGGCCTGGTGGGAGGTGATTGGATCAGGGGAGCAGCTTCCCCCATGCTGTTCTCATGATAGTGAGTGAGTTCTCACGAGATCTGATGGTTTAAAACTGTTTGGCAGTTCCTCCCTTGCATTCTTGCTCTTGCTTGCTGCCATGAGAAGATGTGCCTTATTCTCCTTCGTTTTCTGCCATGATTGTAAGTTCCCTGGAGTTTGCCCAGCCATTCAGAACTGTGAGTTAATTAAACCTTTTTTCCTTTATAAATTACCCAGTTTCAGGTAGTATCTTTATAGCCATGTGAAAATAGACTAATACAGATAATTGGTACCAAGACAATGGGGTATTGCTATAAAGATAAACTGAAAATACAGAAACAACTTTGGAACTGGGTAACAGGCAGAGGTTGAAACAGTTTGGAGGACTCAAGATTTGGGAAAGTTTGGAATTTCCTAGAGATTTGTTGAATGGTTTTGACCAAAATGCTGATAATAATATGGACAAAGAAGTCCAGACTGAGGTAGTCTCAGATGTAGTTGAGAAACTCATTGGGAACTGAAGCAAAGGTTGTGTTTGCTATGCTTTAGCGAAGAGATTGGTAACATTTTCCTCCAGCTCTAGAAATCTGTGGAACTTTGAACTTGAGAGAGATGATTAGGGTAGCAGATAGAAGAAATTTCTAAGCAGCAAAGTACTCAAAAAGTTACCTGGCTTTTCCTGCAATGTACAGTTATACGTATTCACAAAGAGATGCTTTGAAATTGGAGCTTATGTTTAAAAGCATAAAGATTTGGAAAATGTGCAGTCTGACCAATGGTAGAAAAGAAAAACCCATTTTCTGGGTAGAAATTCAAGCCTCCTGCAGAAATTGGCAAAAGTAATGAGGAGTTGAATGTTAATAGCCAAGACAATGGGGAAAATGTCTCCACATCATGTCAGAGATTTTTGTGGCAGCCCCTCCCATCATAGGCCTGGAGGCATGGGAAGGAAAAATAGCCTATGGCCCTGCTGCCCTGTGCAGCCTTGCGACTTGGTGCCCTGCTGTCCAGCCATGCTAGCTGTGGCTATAAGGGGTCAAGGTACAACTCAAAGGTCATTGCTTCTGAGGCCATTGCTTTAGAGAAGCATGCCCCAAGCCTTGGCACCTTCCAGGTGTTGTTGGGCCTGCAGGTGCGCAAAAGACAAGAGTTAAAGTTTTGGAACTTCCACCTAGATTTCACAGGGTATGCAGAAATGCCTGGGTGTCCAGGCAGAATTCTGATGCAGGGGAGGAGCCCTCATGGTGAGTCTCTGCTAGGGTAGTGTTGACAGGAAATGTGTGGTTGGAGCCCCCATACAGAGACTGTACTGAGGCACTGCCTAGTGGAGCTGTGAGAAGAGGGCTGCTGACTCCAGAAGTGTAGATCCATGGACAGCTTGCACTGTGTGCCTGGGAAAGCTGCAGGCACTCAGAGCCAGCCTGTGAAAGCAGCTGCAGGGGCTGTACCCTGCAGAACCACAAGGTGAAGCTGCCCAAGCCTTGGGAACCCACCTCTTGCATCAGTGTGCCCTGGATATGAGACATGGAGTAAAAGGAGATTATTTTGGAACTTTAAGATTCATTGATTGCCTGGCCAGGTTTTGGACTTGGATGGGGCCTGTGGTCCCTTTGTTTTAACCAATTTCTCCCATTTGAAATGAGTGCATTTACCCAATGCCTGTATCCCCATTGTATCTTGGAAGTAACTGACTTGCTTTTGATTTATGGGCTCATAGATGGAAAGGATTTGCTTTGTCTCAGATGAGACTTTGAACTTGGACTTTTGAATTAATGCTGGAATGAGTTAAGGCTTTGGGAGACCATTGGGAAGGCATGATTGGGTTTTGAAATATATAGAGAACATGAGATTTGGGAAGAGTCAGGGGCAGAATGATATGGTTTGGCTCTGTGTCTCCACCCAAGTCTCATCTCAAATTGTAATTCCCATGTGTCAGGGAGGGACCTGGTGGGAGGGGACTGGATCATGGAGGTGGTTTCCTCATGCTGTTTTCCTGAGATATTATAGTTTAAAAGTGTTTAGGCCAGGTGCGGTGGCTCACGCCGGTAATCCCAGCACTTTGGAAGGCTGAGGCAGGTGGATCATGAGGTCCAGAGATTGAGACCATCCCGGCCAACATGCTGAAACCCCATTATTCTCTACTAAAAATACAAAAATTAGTTGGGCATGGTGGCATGTACCTGTAGTCCCAGCTACTCAGGAGGCTAAGACAGGAGAATTACTTGAACCTGGGAGGCGGAGGTTGCAGTGAGCTGAGATTGCATCACTGCACTCCAGCCTCACAACAGAGTGAAACTCCGCCTCAAAGACAAAAAAAGCGTTTGGCAGCTCCCCCCTTGTGCTCTCTCTCTCCTGCCACTAAGAGAAGATGTGTCTTCCTTCCCCTTCCACCACGATTGTAAGATTCCTGAGGCCTCCTCAGCCATGTGGAACTGTGAGTCAATGAAACCTTTTTCCTTTACAAATTACCCAGTCTCAATTATTCTTTATAACAGTGTTAAAACAGACTAATACACACTTAAATCTTTGGATTTTTCATTCTGTGGTATCTCTCCTTTCCTTCCTTGCCCTTCCTTTAGCCCCCACCTGGCTTTAAATCTTTCTCTCTGTTCCTCTTCCTTTATTTATATAAAAAAACCCAAACCTTTATTTTTGTCCTTCCCTTTCTCCTATTTCTTATCTAGATACAGATGGAATTAAATAACTTTTTTTGTAGTTTTTCTTTTTCTTTATGTTAGATATAGTTGGGCATATTTTTTTTAATTAAAAAAGCTATCTCTGAGGAAATCCCTGTAACCTATTTTCCTTGGTTTGTACATGTGCTGTGACAAAACTGATAGGAAATGAGGCTTTTGTTTTAGCTTGGAAAAAAGTGATTTAAATCACTTTTCTGGGAGATGTTTGGGTTTTTCGTTAACTCTATTGGTAAGAACCTTTCAATAGACCTTTTACTTTCCTGCCCTTTGTTTTATATATATGTTATCAAATGATTAATTTATCTGATTTATCAGAATTAAATTGGTTTCTGTCAGAATCACTGCTCACCTGTACAGTGTTTTAGTGTGAGTGGAAGCACTATGCTCCTTTTCCAAAACATTGTTATTTTTAGTTGGAAAATTATCATAATAAACTGATTTTATTTATGAAACCCACATCTTGCTGTCATTTACCAATTTACAAATTGTGACTGTAAGTATTCACATATATGACTTTTACAATGTGATTTGTACTCTGCGCAATGTGCAACCTCCACAACTGTATGCAGAGACACAGATAAGGTTAACTTTGACGTACAGTGAGATAAGTTTTGGGGTAGAAGCCTGAAATTTCAGAAAAATTTAGACCAGATTTCCCAGGAACAAAATATTTAAAAAACAAAGAGTTTTAGCTAATGAAGTTTATCTGGATTACTCTTTTCCCTGACTTTATTAGTGGGCCTGCAGGCACCTTGCTCTTTTTGCTGAGCTGTAATCATTGAATTATTTGACTATAGATAGCAGGAAAGTTCTTTGACTAGTTAAGAGTGGAGGATGAGCATGCTGTATTTATCATAAACCATGTTTAATGTGATATTCTTGTAGCAAGGTCTGGTTGACACCTTAATATCTAACCAGCTAAGAATAAATGTGAATACATTTGTATAGGTGAGGAGAGCAGAGAATCCTCTTGTACTAGCAAGGCATTCAGGGGCTGACAGTTTCTCCAAGGAAGCAGAATGTTTCAATCAGTTATAATTTAGCGTGAAACTGGCTTTTGACTACCACGAAGTGAATTTTCCATCATGAATTTGATCCAGATGCCTCTGGATCGAAAGGGTGTTAGGTGTGGGAATATCTTCATTTTTGTCCTTCAAAGATGGACATTTTTAAAGATGCCATGATCATTTCTTTAACATTTTTAGAAATATTTGTTGAACCAAAGCATTTAAAAAATGACAGACAAGCCATTTCTGGTTGAATTTAAACCAAGCCAATTTAGATTATGAATGCTTCAGGTATCTGTATATTTTCGTGCCAAGATAGTTTATAGAAGAAATTTCAGTGGTGAACAGTGCCAAGTTATTGAAATGATCTCAGTAAAAATGGCATTCCATTGAAAGTGAAGTTTTTCCTTTTCTTATGCTTTTGTGAATTGATTCAATTTAAAAATATATATTTTTAAAGA